GCCGTGGTCTTCCAGACCATCTTCCGGATGAACTCCACTGACATGTACGTCAACGTCAATCGTAGCCCCCGCCGAGCAACTGACCAAAGCGTTTCATGAAAAACGGATGAGAATATCGAACGATCTACAATATTGTGTTGAGGATCATGGTTAACATGTTCAAGAGTTGAGTTGAATAACATGGGTAATAAATTATGGTTAACACGTTACAGTATTGCGTTGAGTGTCATGGTTAACACGTTACAGTATTGCATCGAGTGTCATGTTAACACTTTACAGTATTGTGTTGAGTGTCATGTTAACACTGTACAGTATTGTGTTGACTGTCATGGTTTGCGTTGAGTGTCATGGTTAACACGTTACAGTATTGCGTTGAGTGTCAAGGCTAATACCTTACAGTACTGTGTTGATCGTCATGGTCAACACGCTACACTTTTGCGTTGAGTCCCACGGTTAACATGTTACAATGTTGCATTGAGTTTCATGGCTAACACGTTACAGTATTGTGTTGATCGTCATGGTCAACACGCGACACTTTTGCGTTGAGTCCCACAGTTACCATGCTACAATATTGCGTTGAACGTCATGGCAAACACGTAACAGTATTGCGTTGAGCGTCATGGTTAACACGCTACACGATTGTGCTGAGTGTCGGTATTAGCACGTTACAGTATTGCGCTCTGTTTCCTGTTTAACACGCTACAGTTTTGCGTTGAGTGCCACGGTTAACATCCTACAATATTGCGTTGAGGGTCATTGTACTGTTTCGATGGTATCGTTCTGCAAATTGGACTGACTGACTGACTGAGTTTAGTTTTACGCCGCTTTTAGCAATATTCCAGCAATATCACGGCGGGGGACACCAGAAATGGGCTTAACACATTGTGCCCATGTTGGGAATCGAACCCGGGTCTTCGGCGTGACGAGCCAACGCTTTAACGACTAGGCTACCCCACCGCCCCTCTGCAAATTGGAACGGCACGATACCGGTGTTGTGTAACACTGCAATCCATGCATATATGACCAATAGCAAGGAGATAATTATCAGAATGCTGCACGATGACAGTATCAGTATCCTGTTGATAACTTCCAGTTACTGTAATGAGATTTAGCATGTCGTCACGCAACCTCATTCATTACTAAGCCACCACCAACGGGTTCCGCTGATTATTCTCCTGTGACATGCCTCGTTACGGTATGTCTATACGCGATACTCTACCATCGGTAGCGTATAGACGATAGCGACCTCCACTGTGTTCTCAAGTTGCGGTATTCTCTGCACATCAGACGTTCCTGTCTGTACTTGTCTTGGAGGAAGGCCCGCAACCCCCTCCGATTGTAACCCGTGAAAATCCGGGTTTGATCTTCAACAACCGTGTGATTCGTGTGATTCTGGCACAGCTGGCTTGGCACATGTTTGTTTCTTCCCTATCGAGAACGTTACGTTTTTCTTCATAGCTCATCGCCAGTGACTCTCATAGTATACACATGACCATTAATCTAACATCACCTATTTTAATATAAGTACACAACACTGAGTGTTTTCGCTTTGCCATATCGTAAAGGTGACAAGATGATTTTTCTGAAAGTCGGCATCGTGTCATTTCAGTGAGTGAGTGAGTTGAGTTTTACGCCGCACTGAGAAATATTCGCTCGTCACGCCAAATTGTTACAAGCAGCGTAGATCCAAATTAGTCAGGTTTCTTTGGATATAATGTGAAGCACGTACTTTACATATGTATTGAATATGACCATCTGTTTGGACCAACATTTTAAAAATTGCTCTTTGATTCTGGTGGTGTTTAGTTTATGCTCACGTGTAAATACAACGTCAACGCCAGAGTGTAGCCTCTAAAACATAGCAAAACAGATTCCACTGGGCGTAGAATCCAAAGTACAGGGTAAAATTATAATCGTTAATCTGTTATAACACCAGTATCCTGCGAAGGGGTAAGAATGCCCTGCCCTTTGGCCACCCAAAATGATTTATTGTTTCTTGGGCACATAATATGAATCGAGGGGCACACTGAACATCAACACGATGAGTGAGTAGTTAATGCCGCTTTCAGCAATATTCAAGCAAAATCAAGGAGGGGGACAACAGAATGGGCTTCAAATATTGTACCTTTGTGTGGAATCGAACCCGAACCCGAGCGGATGCATTCATCGTCAACAGTTCCGAGTTATTTGAGCACTGGTCTCTCGTAGCTCATCACCATGGTCCTTAGTATAATTATTGGTGATCTACCGTCAGCTGTTGGCAATATATAGGCTGTTTTATATTGCATTGCCATATATAGTTCAAATGTTTTAGAGTTCATTTCTAGTTTTAAATTGAAATCTGTGATAAACTAGTTATTATACTGTCCTTTGTTGACAGGATTCTATAATTTACCTGTATTTTGTATGACATTCTAACTTGTTTTTAGTCACGATATGGCTGAAATATTGCCGATGTGACTTAAAATCTTTACTCACTCACTCACTCACACTCGCGTAGCTTATCAAGCTCCAGGTTTGCACCAGGCTTCGGGGCATAGTGACTTTATCTGTTAAATAATCAATAATCATGACCATGTTGCACTGATTACATGCATGCACAACACCGTGTGGAGCCAGCCATGCATTTGCTCTGTCAATGCCTTCATCAATATTCTTACATAAGTCAAAGTATTGGAACTTGATGAACTGCAGTGTGATGAATGTTCTAATATAATTATCTACAGACGTGCTTCCGTTTTGCCTAAAAGCCTTTCCCCATGAGACATCTTCGCTGCATGTTGTATTGATTGTGTGATTCCGACTACATTATGACTGTGTGTTTGTCAATAACCATCAAACAGTGATGATTGCTTTTGTAAATAGGGGAGCTTATAAGTTGCTACTAGAAGCAACCATTACAAACACAAGGTAAGGCAAGACAAATGTTCAGCCCTACTAGAACAACTACGTCCGGTAAGTCCGTGCGCCTTACAATATTGATCGCAACATGGCAGCTAACGTCCCTTATTTTTTGTGGTTTACGTGAATAAACATGCTGGTATGCATCATATTTGCCTAGAAAAATAAGTTTTATTGACGACTACAAGATTCTGACATTGCATTATGCCATACAGTTGACCTTACCGGCGTTCTCACGACATAACATCCGGCTCAGACAATATGGTGGACGTTGGCAAAAGCTACATTTTTAGTCCTTGATCATGTGAATCAGCGATGCTAGTACCTACTTTATTGACTGCAAAAGTTTATACATGATACTGTGAATTTACTTCCGTGAGCAATCGACATTTTGCCATGGAGGTGTCGGGTACTTCCATGAATATTCAACAGGTCACCATGAACTTGTCAGCGATGTGGGTGGGAGTGGCACGTTCAGTCTCGTTCATAATTATTTTTAACAAAATTAAATAACATGTTATGCCTATGTACTGACCTTTAGTGATTAAAAACCAGTCCCCTGGAGAAATGTCCCGATTTCAAGCGTAAATGTGGTAGCAGACGATGCTAGGGAAGTACGCTATTGCAGCTGCGCAGACTTACCGGACGCGCAAACTTACCGCACTCGCTTGTATGTATTATTTAAGAATTAAATGTCACTTTGTTTGTTTGCACTGAAAAATGAACGATGTCAAAGCGTTGTTCAAACTCGTGTGAACGAGTGAGTTTGAACAACGCTTTGACAGCGTTCATTTTTCAGTGCAAACACACAAAGTGACATTCAGTTCTTTTAATTTTGCACTTTGATGTTTACACATACGTTTTTTCCCCACTTCTACATGATCATTGTTTACAGTGATGTGTTTAAATACCCGTAACATGTTGTAATGTCATTCTATTCAAGACCGTATTTTAGCGATGTTTGTATAATTGACGATTTTTTTACACATGTATCCCAACCCTTAAAGAAATAGTTCTCAAAGTATTCCTTAAAATATTACAACAAATTCGTCAATAGGTGTGAAACTGCTGTAATAAGCATAATATCAATGAAATTATCAAACAGAAACAAATATCAATAACAATATCATTTTAACAAACTGTCATTGTACCTATAAAACTATGACGGATTCGTTTGACCGCGTAATAATACATTGACCGACTTTGAAGTTGTGCGGCGTGGCGAATAGGAAGCAGATCTCGTTGGTGGATTCTATTTATTTGTGATTGTTTATTGTGAAATTTAATGAGCAGTTTTTAAACAGATCACGGGGCAGAACCCGCAAACCGCGAGAGATTAAACTCTTATGATAAGGAACAATGCTCGGTAATTGGAAATCCGTTTCGTCGTGAAGAAGCGACATTGCCAAAATTGGGGTGACTTGAAGTTGAAACAGGATCGCTCGCTAAATTGTCATCACCAAATAATTTCGTACTTTGAAGTTTACACAGATTTTCGACCGGTGGCTGGTTGAGAGAGCTGTCATTGGTGCCAGTTGGTGCTTTTTGTTACATACAAAAACAAGTAAGTGTTATGTATAAATGAAAAGGAGTGTGAATGCAAATGATTTATGTTGTTCACGTCAAGCTGGACAGCGAGTATCCTGGGGAAAACCCGGAAAGTAGTTCCGACAAAAGTTCACATGACCCAGATCGGCTCGAAAACGTTCACACACGTATGAACGGTTTGAAGGGTTCGAGGGAAATGAACCTTGAAATTTAGATCACATGGCCGCTCTCTCAACCAACCAACGTTCGGGAATCTGTGTAAACTTCAAAGTACGAAATTATATACGGAAGTATGCTATTGCAGACTTACCGGACGCGCAAACTTACTGGACTCTCTTGTATGTATTATATACTTATGTTTGACACAGGCTTAGTTTGATATGAATCTTAACAGTATTATAAGAATACAATAATGTTGTTTTCAAACATTGCTTTATTGTTTATAAATATTCATTTCCTAGACATTTACCGATTCAGTTGTCTAAAATTTTCAAATTTACAAAATTGATTCCTTCCATGTATATGTGATTGTTTACAAGGTTTAATTCAAGGCACAAGTTCCAACACACCAACACTACGAAGCAGAGCTACTGGGGAATCAACAGTTCCTGATCCTGAGCATGGACAAGCTTTCATCTTTCATGAAATGTTGGCTTGTTATAGCTGGTACGTGAGAATAAGGATGTGATTGACAAATTGTCATTTGAGTCATATAAACTATGTTATATACTTATTTTTCAAAGCTACAGTCAGAATTCTTCTATTTCCAGTTTAAGTGCAAATGTATAACATAACTGTAAATCAGTATAAGTGAGAGGTGTTATGCCGCACTCAGCAATATTCCAGCTATATGGCGGCGGTCTGTAAATAATCGAGTCCGGACCAGACAATCCAGAGATCAACAGCATGAGCATCGATCTGCGCAATTGGGAACAGATGACATGTGTCAACGAAGTCAGGGAGCCTGACCACCCGATCCCGTTAGTCGCCTCTTACGACAAGCATAGTCGCCTTTTACGACAAGCATGGGTTACTGAAGACCAATTCTAGCCCGGGACCTTCACGGGTCGTAAATAGTATGGCATGTACGAATGTAATAATTCATTTATTGTCCATTATTTATTACTCCTTTAGAGCTTGCTTTAAAAAAAAAAGGAACTTTCTTTGAAAACCGGGGTGACGTTAACGATCATGATCAATTGCGCCGTTTGAAGTGTGACGTCATTCAGTCTCTTTAGGATTCGAACAACGTCAACAAAGTCGTCTGGATAACTTAACAATGCATAGCAGTGCGTGATGTGCTATTTGTGGACAAGCACATTTGCGATGCTTATTTTCTCAACCAAATGAGTACTTACCTGTGAAGATCCAGTCGAGATTAGAATTGAACTTCACAGCAAACCATGCTTGTTGGAAAAGACGACAAACGGGATCGGGTGTTCATGCTCGATTTGTTGAAACATGACACATGTCAATGGCGTAGATCGATGCTCAGGATATTCATTACTGGATTGTCTGGTCTAGACTTATTTACAGACCGCCGCCACACAGCTGGAACATTGCTGAGTGCAGCAGACAAACAGAATAAAGATACCTTCACAAGGTCATTACTGAATATAATACGTATGACAGGAATACGTATTTTAGAAAGTAAACAAGAAAACATTATTGAAAAACGATTTTTTTTCTACAAAAATGATCAAACATAACGGTGGGATTAAGAAGGAAATTTGATAATGAGTATATGCACCAAACTGCCTTCTACACTATGTACATCAAGATGAACATGGGTAAATAGTTAAATAGTGAAGTTAGTTACTTTAATATTTAGCTATAGAAACTTTCACTAAACTTTTCTGATTATTCTTACATGTGTTCTTATGTGTGGATTTTTCCAGTGAGTCTGGTTAACCAAATCAAACAAGCGAAGACTTATTGTTTGTCTATCTGCAGATATATATTAATGGAAGATGAGAGTTGTTCAACGTTGATGACACATTATCAAAGCTAATATCACCTTTTTATACAATGTTTGATTTTACTAGTGTTACCATATATATGCCTATAAAAATGGCAATATAAAGCTAATTAAATATCATGTTTTGATTTTACAGGTGTCACATGTACTGTCGGAGGAAATCACGTTGGTAGAGAATTCCTCATAGGATTTCTCGAACCATACTATTCTGACAATGCAAAGTACTTCATAAGCATTACTGCTCAAACAACAAGTACAGTCATCATAGCAAGCGCTGCATTCACCATTGTCGAGGTAGTCGTTGTGATGGCGAACACCTCTGCCCAGGTGGACTTCAGCAATTCTACCTTCTACCATGGCGACTTGGAGGTAACAAAGGAAACAATAGTCGTCATCTCAACTGGAGACATATCAGTGTCAGCTTTCTATTATTCAAGTGATGCATCGGATGGATACTTGGCCATCCCTGTTCAATCATTGTCCAACACATACATTGCAGTGTCTTCAGAAATCGTATCAGCGACTTCTGTCAATTTTCCTTTAACGGGCAAATCAACGTCTGGCATCTTAATTATGTCAACAGCAGACAGCAACACAGTGGACATCACCATCAAACTCCCTCTGGGGGTGGGTCATGTGGGACGAAAAAAAACATCAAAATGGAACATCCTTACAATTCCAGCTTCAGAAGTATGAGGTCGTCGGTGTTCAGTGCACAAATGATCTTACAGGCACACTCGTTGTCAGTTCTGGACCAGTAGCAGTTGTTTCCGGCTCGACAATGACTGATTTTCCAAAAGGAAGTAAATCATCCGACAGGTTTATGGAGATGATGATTCCAGTGGCAGCGTATGGTTTTAATTACGTGCTTCATGATCTTCCGGGACGAGCTTCAGGAACAGTGTACAGGCTCGTTGCCAGTGAAACAACTGTTGTTCAGACGTCGTCGGGATCAGTTTACAACATCAATGCACAGCAATTTGTGGACATAGATACCATCAAACATGGCCAGCAGTGTATTTCATCTAGTAAGCCAATTCTGGTTGTGCTGTTTGCAAAAGGATCCTCGAACGGAAAGACTTCAAATATTGACATGTTCATGGCTGTTGTGCCGCCTGTCCGGAATTATGGCAACTCGTACCTGCTCAATCACAATATCTCAACGGGGGTTCCTTTGTCTCACTATGTAACTGTGATAGTTCCTATGGACAGTGCAGCTGGCCTTCATCCAAGTATAATCTCTCAGCTGTATGTTATAGAGGGATGTTGTTTCGCAGTTGCATCAGTAACACCTCAAACTGCAGTGTATATGATGGAACAGGATGCAGGCATACCCTTTGGTGTTCTTTCGTATGGACAGAGTCGATCGACCGCTGTTGGCTTCCCTGCAGGGATCAGTTTCAGGCAAGGTAGGGATGTATTAATTAAGCCTAAGGATCATTGTGGGACATTAGAGACCACTATATTCGCAGGTATACGGTAATTAATAATTCGGCCAAATTACCAACATTGTAGTTGTTATTCTCAAACTTAAAAAAGTTGTAAGCACAGGTTAGATACAAATGTATCCATGGACCCACAGTCTGGTGAAATAGAATCAGACTGATTAATTTTCTTCAAATGGAATAAAACGTCTTCTTCGTCAAAGTTATAACAGTTTGTGGTCAAGTCTTATGGATTTGTTTAAGGTACCTTTAAGAACAAATAATCTTTAGTAACACGTGTGTTAGCCACTAGACAATTCGTTGGGACAACAGTGATTCTACAAACACGACCGCACCTTTGTCAACAGAGTCAATAGATGGAAATAATTGGTAATTAAAACATTTTATAACTGAACTTCAAACACGCACCGCGCTATGACAATCGACAACCAATATTCGGGTGAGAACTGTGTATAACGACAAATCAGCTTCCTACAGCGGCGGTTTGTTAAAATGTACTTCTCTTTGATCCAGATGAACAGCCATGCGGGAAATCAGGCTGTGCCGGCACCGTGCCATACCCGTGTAGCTGTGTTGAGAGCATCCCTACATATCAGTGCACTGACAGTATGTATATCACTAATAAATTTATAACATTTAAAAGAATTCGGCAGAGTAACTTATTGAGGACCCGTGAAGATCCGGGTTCGAAGTGCTCTGCAGGAACCCATGCTTGTCGTAACATGCGACCAACGAGATCGGATGGTCAGGCTTGCTGACATGTCATCGTATCCCAATTGCGCAGATCGATGCTTATGATGTTGATTACTGGATTGTCTGGATCAGACCCGATTATTTACAAAGCGACGCCTTGTAGCTGGAATATTGTTGAGAGCGGCGTTAGCTAACAAACTATTTGAGGGAGTGATTCACGCCCACGGGAACATTATTCCAGTTAAACTGCGGAGTGTCAACTGGCCGTGGGAGAAAACCGGAAGTGATTATACTCTATGATGTTAACCACTTCGAATTCTGTGAAACTATAGTCAGGCACCCTTGTGTCGAAGTTTGATGTGTCGTACTTACAGTTGTACCTCGAAGTGAAATCTTGGTGCCTGCGTATATTTATTTAATCCTTTGCGGTTGTTCGAACACCTCGATACCTCGAAGTGTCTTTGTAGGTGTCTTCAGCTCACAACTCAGCTAAGATACAACGATGTTTCACTGTACAGTAGTTTTGGGAATTAGTTGAAATCTAATAATTGATGATTGGTCCATCACAACCTACCAATCGTCGAAAATAATTGGTTAGTGTCATTTATTAAATGTCCCTGTTATTTTTTGTTAATGCACTCAAAAAATATAGAAAAAACATGTAGTAATTTGGGTTTTTTGCAAATTGCTTAAAGTCCATGTACAAATTTTGCATATTTAAATGATGATTAGTATGTTAGGAACACATATTTCCTGGATTCTTTAAGATAAATTCAATCATGACTTGGAACGAGCTTGTAGTGCTTATGAAATGTAAATTTAATGACACAGACAAAACCAGCCTTGTGAAAAACATAGTTAATGCAAACAAGTGTTCCAAGATTGGTCGTGTTCGAATACGAGAAAACATGTTCGATTGCTTGGTCGCTTAGTCACTGCGACCAGTCTTCGATTATTTCAATTAATCGGACCACCACTACGGTACAGCCATTCATGGTCCAAGTATATGCACAGCATTTATCATATAAGGCATGATGAATACCTCAAACATCCCCTTGACCGTTCAAATTAATGACTACATGACCAATCAATAGGTACATCTTTTAACGCTATTATTTCGTACGTAACATTAGGGCGATTGACATTTTACTTAATTGTTTAAATGATATGTATGACATCTATTGAGTTGTGATAGCTCAAATAGTAAGAACGCATTTTATGTTTCAGATAGTCAAGGTTGCAACAGTTCCTTGTGTTTAAACAACAGCACCTGTTCTGCAACTGAACATGCGTACGAGTGCCAGTGTATGGACGGATTTGGGGGAGCCCATTGTGAAGCAGGTAGTATGGCCTTATTCTTTCAACAGACGATGATCCAGGGAATCGTGATTCTTGCATTACTGGCTGTGTTGTTTTATTATACTTAGATGGAGGAAAATTGCTATTCTCCTGGGTGGATTTCAGTGTAATTGTGAATACTGGATGTGAATGATGTAGACATCAGCGGGGGACTACGAAATTGGTTTCACGCATTGTACCCATGTGGAGAGTCGACCTGGGGGCTTTAGGCGTGGCGAGCGAACGCTTTATCCATTATGCTACCCAATCGTCCCGTAATTTAATGAGGTTTGGTCAGGTGAAATGGTGTTAAACGGTGTCCTTGACATTATTCGCTCTTATATAACGACGCCTGAGTACGTTGCGTTGCGTTGCGTGCGTGCGTGGGTGCATGCGTGTGCGCTATTGTCCAGATTTTTTTGCCAGTTGTATAGTGCTAGCCCACTGAGAATATACCGTGTTGCAGTTCACACGTTGTACCAATGTGGGCAATCTAACGCGGATTTTCGGCGTTACGAACGAACGCATTACCCATTATGTTCCAAAATCGCCCCATAATGAAATGCATTGTGGTCAGGGATAAAATGGGATTTAATGGTATTCTTTAGATTATTCGCCCTTATATATACACGTGCGTATGTGCGTGCGTGGGCGCTTTGTCCAGATTGTGTGCTAGTTTTTCTAGTGCAAGTCCAATGAGAATACATCATGTCGCACCTGGTATATTCTGGTTACTTCACTGAAAGACAGTTCCACTGACGCCAGTCTACCAGTCTTGAGACCGCCTCCGTGGTGTAGTGGTTAGAGGGTCGCGGGTTCGATCCTGGCCGCGTCATACCAAAAGACGTACTTGTTGGTTCCTGCCTGACGCTTGGCATTAATGGGTAAAACAAGGACTGTTCGGCTCGGAGTCAGTATAATGTGTCTGAGTGGGGTATTTCACGCTTAACTGCCGCATTGTATCTCAGTGAGCTAGCACTATAAACCCAGCTTAAGTCTGGGCTAGTAGAAGCAGCCCCACATACACACGCATGCACGTCGTCGTATGAGCGAAATATTCTTAAGTGCGATGTTGAACCCCATTTCACCTCACCTCATCAACCAGTCTTGAATACCACGTGACATGCACGGTAACAACAAGTACCATCACTTTCTGTGTTCTGTTTCCGTTCAATAATTATCCAGTACATGGTACTGTCTGGATTCCAGATATAGTTGACGACTGCCTCAGTAACAACTGCTCCAATACCCACGGAACCTGCATTGACGCCATCAACTCCTACCTCTGTAACTGTTCAGAAGGATTTACAGGACAACTCTGCGAAACAAGTACGTCAGTAATATCTTCTGAATTTTGTACCCATGAAGATCCGGTTTAGAATTGGTATCCAGGGGCCCGATCCACAAAGCGTTCGTCACGTTACGACCTGTCGTAACTCTATAGTTTATCATAGGCTTACGAATGTCGTAGCGCTACGAACGCTTTGTGGATCGGGACCCTGCAATCTATGCTTGTCGTAAGACGCGGCTGATGGGATCCGCTGGTCAGGCTCCCTGACTTGGTTGACGCATCATCATATCCCAATCGGGTAGATCGAAGCTCCTGAGGCTGATCACAGGATTGACTGGTCCAGACTCGATTATTTACAGACCACCACCATACAGCGGGGATATGGTTGAGTACGGCGTTTAACAACAAACGAGTATAATTTTGTTATTTTTTTCTCGTTGAAATGGACAGGATTAACACAATGCAAACTGCTTCAAAGTAACCTAGGATATAGTTTGATAGACACCGATCAATATAACAATTACTTATCTTACAATTTTAATTATACTCATTGCCATTTATTGAAGGGTCATGGAGCAATAAGGTAAGATAATGTAAAATAAGATATGCTGTGACAAGATTATAGAAAGAAGAGATAAGTTTAACTGAGGAGGGCGTTCAGTTCAAGTTGTGAGAAAAGGATCAGGACTGTATCTACACGGACATCAAACAAAGGGATACCCCCAAAACGGAAAGTCTATTGCTTATCCCTTCAGTGGATCTTGACTACAAGAATATAAACAGCCCCAATGCAAGAAATACTGTTCTGGAAAAGATTGAAGAATTAGATCTCTTAGATATTTGGGAAAGAACAAAACAGTGGATGTAAGAAATTTACATGGTGGAAGAGAAACCCTAAGCAGCAAGCAAGACTTGATTTTTTCCTAGTCTCTCAGGACCTATTCAATATATCTTATTAAATTGATATTGTTCCAGGTTATAAGTCAGACCATTCCCCAATTATACTATCACTTTCAAACAAATCAAGCAATTAAAGAGTCCGTGGCTATTGGAAATTCAATTCCTCACTCTTACACAACGGGGAATATATAAAAATTGTCAAAAATACTTTACATGATACTCTGCTCGAATATACAACAAATATCGACAATGAAGACGAATTGAACAACCTTATAAAAGATGGAACGCAGGAATTGAAAATATCTGAATCTTTATTTCTAGAAACTTTCTTATTGAATTTGAGAGGAAAAACAATTTCATTTACTACATACACTAAGTAAAAAATAGAGAAAAAAACAGAAAAGATCATGAAGAATCAATGCAAATTCTTGAAGAAAATATAAAAAGCGACTTTAACAATCTAAATGAAACATATTTAGCAGAATTAGCTACTAAGAAAACACTTTTGGAGCAAATTAATGAGGAAGATGTAAGAAGAACTCAATTTCTAAAGAGAACAAAATGGAATGAAAAGGGAGAAAAACTGATCAGCTATTTTTGTCACCTGGAAAACAGGAATTTTACAAGTAAGCTTATAGGTAGTGTTATGAAAGATAACGGCGATCTGATTACGGATGGTAGTGGTATTCTAGATGAACTGAAACAATTTGACAGTAATTTGTATAGAAATATTCACCAACAAGAGGGACAAAATGATATAGATTTAAGTACTATTAACTTTACAAAGATAACTAAGAAAGAATTTGAGAATTTGGAAAAATATATTAGCTTAGAAGAAATTAATAAAGCTGTTTTATCCATGAAGAATGATGAAAGCCCAGGAATTGATGGCTACCCCATTGAATTCTTTAAGTTCTTTTTGGAGAGATTTAAGCCCTTGGGTTTATAGATTTATAAAAGAAACCTTTACAACTAATGAATTAACTATTAGAGACAGAAAATTCCGAAAAAACTGGCGACCTATTTCATTAATAAATTCCCTTTACAAAATAATAAGCACATGTATAGCAAACAGGTTTAAATCAACATTAGATACAATTGTACATGAAAATCAAACATGTTTTATACCAGGGAGATGAATGAGTGAAAATATAAGACTTCTAAATGGTATTGTCTTTGAAACAAGAAGGTTAAATAAACCCGGCCTATTATTATTAATAGATTTTGAAAAAGCCTTTGACAAAACATTTATAATACAGGTAATGAAAACGTTTGGATTTGGGCCCAATATTAACAAATGGATTCAAATTCTGACTGGTAATAATACAGCAGCTGTTATACAAAATGGGCACATCGCTTCCTTTTTCCATCAGGAACGGGGGTGTAGACAGGGAGATCCGGTCTCACCTTATTTATTTATTCTTGCAGTAGAAATATTAGGTATTATGATAAGGGCGAATCCTGATATAAAGGGTATAACACTTAATGATACAGAACAGAAACTTGGACAACACGCGGATGATACACAGCTATATCTAGATGGATCCGAAACAAGGCTCAATGTTGCAATTGAAACACTGAATAAATTCTATCAAATGTCAGGACTCCAAATGAACATAAACAAGACAAAAGCTATGTGGATAGGCACAATGACAGGTAGAAATATAAATTTAGCCAATGACTTTTATCTTGACTGGCACAGTGGTGACTTTGGAATCTTAAGAATAACACTGAATGCTTCTCTTAAAGACTTTTGGATAATTGACACAAGAAAACGCCTAGAACATATTAATAGATTACTTGCTAGTTGGCGAAGAAGAAACTCTAATCGGGAAAATCACTGTTATCAAAACTCTGTGTGTGACAACTGTAGCATCAGTGAACCGTTCACTTCTTCTGCGGAATATTCTCCGAAGACCATCACTAAAAGACAAATTAAACCAGCTTTCATCTGTAAAGAGCATTGACATTGATTCCAATGACCGTGGCGTCTGCTCCAGGCTAAACGTGCATGTCTGTGACGTTGGAGAAGTGGTGGACGGACTGCTGGTCTCCTAGAACGGAGCCCATTGGCACGTAATCGGCGTCGAATAGTGTTCCTGCTTATCCTGACACCATGAACATTGTAATGTTCAGTCTGAAGGTCACCGGCGGTCACGAATCGGTTACGTAAAGCGACGTTAAGCAAGTTCCTGTTTTGCCTTGCAGTGGTAACTCTAGGGCGACCTGGTCTTCTCGCATATTCCATCGATCCCGTGGCTTGAAAACTTTGCCACAGTCTCCAATTGATACTTTGACTCACATTGAAGTGATTTGCAGCTTGTCGTTGACTGTGACCAGCTTGCATTAGACCAATTGCTTGACCCCTCTCTGCTACAGTCAGGAATCGTCTCATTTCGTATCAGAAATCATGATGTCAGGGTGAGACTACAGTTGACACTTATAGCCTAAATCTGTGCATGGGAAGTCGCACTTTATCTTGCAATACAAGACAAAATGCTCTGTTTCCACGATACAGACATTGACAATGTTCACGGGAACAAAAAATGTATCAAAATGATCCTGTTTTTGAAACACTGTATATCTTTAACTTCTCAATCACTGAGACATGTGCGTACCCTAACGTGTTCTATGGTGCCTAATGTCAACAGGGTTTTAAACGGATTGCTATATACTGATATATTCATAATATGGAATTGATTCCTATCAATGCAAAAGCCACATGACCCTTCAATAATGGCACTGAGTATATATCTAATTAACATGAAGCGAATGTCTAGTTGAGATTTTTCCAGTCTTTTGTGCAATTGTGACAGAATAACATATACAAATGCGCATTATATGATCATGTTACCGTTCAGATATAGATGACTGCAATGGGGTGGTATGCAGAAACAATGGCACCTGCGTCGATGGTACAAATTCATATTTATGCCAATGTCAGGTGACATTTACTGGAATGCACTGTGAGACAGGTGAGTATTGTTGTCGGGACAATTGGTCTTGTTTTATACTTTTTTCGTGCTTTTAAATGAACGTAAAAATTATATTCACAATATACGTTTGAACATATGCGCATGTTCTTTTACCAAACCACTCCAGGTCATCTCACACACAGTGCTGTGGTTAGCTAGATTGCTGTTACAATACAGAACCTCAGTTCAAACGAATACTCAGTCTTGACCATCCCAAACAAATTCCGCTTGGTGTAAAAGGCACAATAGTTGGGGCAGCATTTTTGTGTTTCTCAGCGCCCGACCGACCCTTCTAATTTCATTCCCCAAAAAACAAAACCCAACCCCCCCCAACAACAAACAAACAAACAAAAAACAAACAAACAAAAAACAACACCTTTCTTTTTCATTCGAACCTAAAACGTACCGTCTCGTCATATAAAATGTTTATCTCTCAATGAGTCACTGCCACAAGAACGCTATAGATTGTAGTAATAATTACAATAAATGAGAATCAAGAACATTATTCAGGGAATTTTGTCTTTACTAAGTGTTTCTGTTTTTCGTTTGTTTTCCACCGACCGACCGACCCATGTTCAGAATTTGGTATCTACGTGAAACATAAAAAAATGATGCCCTTGTCAAAATTATATGAATGACCTCTGCAAATCATTGATGCTACCAAACCACTCATTTACACGTATTTGTAATGCCCAACATTTTAACCCCGACGATATTTTATAATAATATGTTTATTCGAAAAATGTGTGTGATTTTTCTTACAGACCTTGATCCATGCTTGTCTCTGCCTTGTCAGAACAACGGAAGCTGCATCAACTCTAGTAACGACACCTTCGTGTGTGTCTGCAACAACGACTACATTGGAGATGTCTGTCAGTACGACCTCGCCGCCTTCTGCGTCAATAATTCCCTCAACATTATTGACTTTAATTCGTTTAACATAACAGACTTCAACCTAACCCTAGACAAGCGTACGTTAACCCAGTACATCCATAGGTATATGGCGTATCAAGACGACAGAATATCAGCAAAATGTCTTGGGTACTCTGGAGTCATGATCATAATAGGTTTCGTGATGTGTATACTTCTCCTGGACGTTGATAGACTTTGTAGAAAACCTAACAAGAAAAAGAAAAAGAGGAAGAAGCAGGCTGAAAATGCAGGACCATCTAACGCTATTATGCCTATTCCAGAATGATTCCGAAGTCATCCATGGCGCATCGACACGCTCTCCAGAGTTGGTCTTTTGGGCAAGCCAGAAATGTATGATTCAAGGTACGAGCTCCTGTCCTCGGACTGTCGTAAGCAGCGACGACCATTTTCATTTCGGGGTTTACTCAAACATACACAACTGCATGTTGTAAAAACTGGCGTAAAACTCAGCTCACAGACTCCAGGAATTTCCCAGACACGCAGTTTGTTTTTACTTTCTTGTACATTGAAATGGCGACTGGGAAATAGAGATGTGTGAAGAGTCTACATTGTATCCATAAGTGTTTCATTAATTCTGTTATTTGTTCGTTGTAAGGGTGTTCGTTTTAAACATATTTTACTGAAGTATTATATTGATATTCTTCCTGCAAATTGCATGGCATGCTGGAGCTCCTTGAATAAGTAAGTTTGCCTTTAGCAATATTGCAGCAATATCACGGCTGCTGACACCAGAAATGGGCCTCTTAACCAGAATTTTGACCAATATCTAATAATTGGTCATCTGTCCAGTTTTACTCACCCACTCCACTACGCACGCACGCACGCCCCCCACTTACCCAAAGCGCGGATCGTTTCTTTCAATGTAAGTCATCATAAGAGGATTATTTACAGACCGCGCCATGTAACTGCAGTATTGTTGAATGCGTCGTTAAGCGACAAAAAGAAAAGAATGTGACATAATATGGCTCGTAAAAGATAATACTAGCTGCTTGCTTAGGAAGTGACAATTTAGATGTTTTCAGCACAGGTTGTAATGATAAAAAATGTGTATTTTTAAATATGCAACTTAATCAGATATATACGGAAAAAAGTAACTGTGCATAACACAAGATGCATAAAATAAGTTATTTGAAAAGTTATGAAAATAACCCTAAATAAACATGTTGCAAACAAAGCACTTTGCATGAAATGTGATGTCAGGAATCGCGTGCGGAACGTGCAGTTTGTGCGCATTGAACTTACTCACTTTTTTCATGCTTTTAGACACCTAAGGTTCACACACCTGATATCGAAGAACGTTTGATTATTCTCTAGCTTCTGAATGTTGTGGAAAACCTGTTAATTTCAACATAAACTGCGCGTACGCCATGCTGTAGACTGGGTTTGCTGTAGACTGTAATGGCCCAGAGTGAAGTGGCCAGACATTTTGGTGTCAATCGAAACTCGATCTCATCTTATGGACACGTTTTCAACATAAGGGGAACACGAGAGGTTTGCCTCAGACCGGCTGTTCACGCGTGACGTCATATTCGCCCATCTAAGGAATCGATTCCAGACTGCAAGTTTGACTGCTCAGACCATTCCTGGCTTACGTTCAATCAGTTCAAGGATTGTACTGATCCGACGTAGAGAGCACAACACCCGGCCCCGGTCCTCGGTATGTCCAGTCTTGCTCTAACATCGCCGACAGGCACGTCGTACCTGCTGCAGACAGCATCTACGGTGCAGGAGACAAGATTGGGATGGTGTTTTGTTCACTGATGAGTTGCGATTTCATCTGGACAGCTCAGATGGCAGGGCAAGGATGTACAGACGACGAGGTGAACGGTATGCTGACGCGTGCGTTGTTCAACGTTGACAGCTTGGTGGCGTCGGCGTTATTGTATGGGGTTGGACACAACTTGTCATTGTCAATGGCAATCTGACTGGTCTGCAATACAGTGATGAGATCATTGAGCCTCATGTGCAGCCGTTCATTCAAGGACAGAGACGTAACTTCACGCTTCAGCAATGCTCATTCAAAAGCATAAATGCCCGTCCTCATGTTGCTCGTGCTGAGACAGATTTCCTGAGACAGCTGAACATTCCGGTACTCTCCTGGCCAGCTGTTTCTTCGGACTTGTCCACTTATCGAGCACGCTTGGGTTGAAATGGATCGACGTTTACGCCAAGCCCACAATCAACCATTGATTTCCGCTGAATTGGGACAAGCGTTGGTTCAGATATGGAACAACATTCTACAAGCTTTCTTCAATCGATTAGTGTCGTCTATGCGTCGTCGTTGTCAAGCCTGCATCAACGCCAATGGTGGATACACACGATACTGAATTGTGAATTGACTTTTGACACCACATTTCGCCAAAGGCTTACCTAGTGTCAAATCATACAGAATTCGATATTACCCAGTCAACAGTTACGAAGTGATTAAGGAAAACACCCCAAATCATGATATCTTTTTGCATTAAAAATAGAATAATTACAAATGGTGCACAGTTACTTTATTCCAATAGTATATATTGTTATCTAGGACCACGATTGTACATGACGAATGGCAGTAGATGAAACGAAGATGACATAGCACAGTGCGAGGAAGATGTAAAGATTACTTATCTCGCCGCTGAAACATTAACCAACAAATGCATGGTGTGATTTGACTGATGAGTGTCATAATATAATATCGCGATTGTTTTAATCGTTGCTTTTGTTTGCGACCCCAGACAATAATTAAGTGACATGATTAAGTGCAATACTTCTGACTGTAAGGTGGAACACATCTACATGTAGATCTTGTGGCAACATGTGATCGGATCTTCATATAAAGAGATCATGGATGCCAGTAAAATATGTTGATATTTTTGGTTCATATATTAAGAGTCACAACATTCATCTTGAGTAGTGTGCTTAAATACACTTGAAGCGTTCCTAAAATATGTATTGACTGTTGATTTACGATAGATATTTAGCGTGGTGGGTACTGTAAGAACTCACGTAGCGTACGAGCTACGTCCTTTGAAACATACAGCGCTTACACACGAATCCGTTCAGCAACCAGCAAACGAGGCATGCTTGTATGAGAAGGCGACTACGGGATCAAGAGGTCAGGTTCGTTTTGTTGATGCATGTCATCGCATCCCAGATGTGTAGATCGATGTTCATGATGTCAATCACTGACATGTCAGATCTAAACTCGTGTATTTACAGACATTTTTAAGTTACAGGAACTTACCTTGAAACATAGAGTGCTCACGAGTAATTGCAGTCAACGCCTCAGCATGCTGATATCGGGACAGTGTTTTTGAACTACTATGATGTTCAAATTCATTTTCCATTTCATAATATCATTAATTATCAAAACCTGAGTTTGATTGCATAAACATTCGTTACTTTGTATATATTTTCCACAATCTTGTATTCTGTGAATGGTATTTAGATGTGGTGATTATGAGTCAAACAATCGCTTGGATAACAAACTTTTTATTTTGTAAAACACTATTTTCGGAACATATGTTATATTTTGAAGTCGCGGTGGCTGAGCGGGTTAGGCGGCTGACTTTGTGTGCTGGCGATTTGCTGCCTGACTCTGAGGGTGTGGGTTTGAATCCCGGAAGTGACTCAATCCAAAAAAGTGCGAGAATATGTACTTTACTAAGATAGTGTAATCCCAAATATAACATATGTTGCATTTGACCACTTTCTAAAATGACATTGTGTAATCACTATTTTCGGAGTAAACTCCTACTCCTACGCGTGAACGAAATATGAATAAGAATTTATTTTTATAGTTTCCGATAGCTTCCTTTAGAGAGGCATTGTTAAACTTATTATGCTAACTGACTGATTCGATTTCAAATGTATAAATAATCACAAAATGGCTTAAGATAAGCTTGTAGAAGCCCTACTAGCAACACAACATGTTATCACAACTTACAATCCAGGGTGCCGTTGTACAAAACACCCTCAGCGCTAAGACTACCTTAAGTCTTTGTTATGGTACGGCAGTTACGGTCACCTGAGATCGCTTTGTACAACGGCCCCCTGACCACTGTTCTGCTCGCAAATCCGAATGTGGATTGAAATATATGTTTGCCATATATTTCGTGAATTAATACCATTTTCGTGCTTAAGGTTACCGAAGTACTGGCCTAGTAAATACTGTTACAGCTGCATGCATCTAAAAGATAAAGTAGTAATTAAAATCTGTCGACTGACCACACATGCAGATGATTACATTATTAAGATATAAGACTAAAGGCACTGCAATGAATTGTAACCGATATACCATTTACACTGGTTGTACACTATTTATATAATCAGTTTAATGAAAACTATTTGTATTTTTCGGATTTTGTGAATCTCTATAATAAGGAAGGCAGTTTTTAATTAACGTCCAATAGCTCAATAGCGTTTTTACTACCCAAAAGGTTTTAATATTCCTGTTTAGAAATGTTCTTGAATTTTCAGGAATATTTCATGATTATCTATATCGCCAGAAACTGAATCGATATCGATTACATTGTGCTAGTTAAGAGCTTTTGGGATGTTTAAAAAAGCACATACGCAAAGACCAATATTTAGTAGAATGTAGTCAAAACCACGCCAAAATTCGAACAAATGAATAAAATATAAGCACTCCCAAAATGAAAGACAAACTTAAAGAGTTAAGTGCCGTTATGTAAAACCGATTTATCCCATTTATAATCTGCATAAAAAACAATCTCTCGAAATTGCATGATAACTTATAGATATGACGAACAACTGGAGGCAAAACTTTAATAAGAATCATGACGTTGCTGCAGTGTGAATAAAATACGTCCTGTATATTTCGTTTGAAATAAAATGCTTACATTTTTTATATATTTGTTCTGTTCTGTAGTTCTTTGCCTGATTGTTTGAGCTGAGACTGGAAAACGGTGATTGGATTTAAGAATGCCTATGTGTAGATACATAATGATAATACGTGCATTTGTGATGCGCAATTTTCCATCCGTTGTGCCGCCATATAGCTGGAATATTGCTGAGTGCGGCGTTAAACAAACAACCAAACAAACAAACCATCCGCTCAAATCGCAAACAATCTGATTATTATTACCTCGGATAAGCCGGGGGTGAGGTTAATAGTCACATGACTTATCCCGCCGGCTACCCATTTTTTTCTGCTGGGTGAACTCGCCTAAGAGCTTTACCAACCTAGTTGGATAATTTTAGGCCATTTGGGCTGACACCAAGGTGAGGCCACATGTATCATATGTGGTGAAGTGAGGTGAAATTGGGTTTAACGTCGTACTTGAGAATATTTCGCTCATATGACGACGTGCTTGCGTGTGTATGTGTATGTTCGGCTGCTTGTACTAGCCCAGACTGAAGCTGGTTTTATAGTGCTAGCCCACTGA